ATCTCTGCTGATGGTTTGAATTTCTGTGGAATCTGTGGTGATATCCCCTTTATTGTTTTTTATTGCATCAATTTGGTCATTCTCTCTTTTCTTTTTTATTAATCTGGCTAGTGGTCTGTCTATTTTGTTGATGTTTTTGAAAAACCAGCTCCTGGATTTACTGATTTTTTGAAGGGTTTTTCATGTCTCTATTTCCTTCAATTCTGCTCTGATCTTAGCTATTTCTTTTCTTCTGCTAGACTTTGAGTTTTTTTTATCTTGCTCCTGTAGCTCTTTTTTGATGATAGGGTGTCAATTTTTGATTTGTCCTTGCTTCTCATGTGGGCACTTTTTGCTATATATTTTCCTCTAGAGACTGCTTTAAATGTGTCCCAAAGATTCTGGTAAGTTGTGTCTTCATTCTCGTTGGTTTCGAAGAACATCTTTATTTCTGTGTTCATTTTATTGTTCACCCAGTCAACATTCAAGAACAAGTTGTTCAGTTTCCATGAAGCTGTGCAGTTCTGGGTTAGTTTTTGAATTCTGAGTTCTAACTTGATTGCACTGTGGTTTGAGAGACTGTTTGTTATGTTTTCTGTTCTTTTACATTTGCTGAGGAGTGATTTACTCCCAATTATGTGATCAGTTTTAGAGTAGGTGTGATGTGGTTTGAGAAGAATGTATATTCTGTGGGTTTGGGCTGGAGAGTTCTGTAAATGTCTATTACGTTTGCGTGGTCCAGGTCTGAGTTCAAGTCCTGGATATGCTTGATAATTTTCTGTCTGGTTGATCTGTCTAATATTGACAATGGGGTGTTAAAGTCTCCCACTATAATTGTGTGGGAGTCTAAGTCTCTTTGTAAGTCATTAAGAACTTGCCTTATGTACCTGGGTGCTCCTGTATTGGCTGCGTATATATTTAGGGTCGTTATCTCTCCTTGTTGCATTGATCATTTTACCGTTATGTAATGTCCTTCTTTGTCTCTTTTGATCTTTGTTGCTTTAAAGTCTAATTTATCAGAGATGAGAATTGTAACTCGTGCTTCATTTTGCTCTCCATTTGCTTGGTAAATCTTCCTCTATCCCTTCATTTTGAGCCTTTGTGTATCTTTGCATGTGAGATGGGTTTCCTGGATACAGCACACCGATGGGTTTTGGCTTTTTATCCAGTTTGCCAGTCTGTGTCTTTTGATTGGGGCATTTAGTCCAGTTACATTTAGGGTTAATATTGTTATTGTGAATTTGATACTGCCATATTGGTGCTAGCTGGCTGTTTTGCCCATTAGTTGATGCAGATTCTTATTGTGTTGATTCTCTTTACCATTTGGCATGTTTTTGGAGTGGCTGGTACTAGTTGTTCCTTTATATGTGTAGAGCCTCTTTCAGGAGCTCTTGTGAAGCTGGCCTAGTGGTGAAAAAAATCTCTGAGTGCTTGCATGTTCACAAAGGATTTTATTTTTCCTTTACTTATGAAACTTAGTTTTGCTGGATAGGGGATTCTGGGTTGAAAGTTCCTTTCTTTAAGGATGTTGAATGCTGGCCCCCACTCTCTTTTGGCTTGTAGGGTTTCTGCTGAGAGATCTGCTGTGAGTCTGATGGGGTTCCCTTTGTGGGTAACCCGACCTTTCTCTCTGGCTGCCCTTAGTATTTTCTCCTTCATTTCAACCCTGGCGAATCTGACGATTATGTGCCTTGGGTTTGCTCTTCTTGACTAATATCTTTGTGGTGTTCTTTGTATTTCCTGGACTTGAATATTTGCCTGCCTTGCTAGCTTGGGGAAGTTTCCCTGGATAATATCCTGAAGAGTATTTTCCAACTTGGATTCATTCTCTTCATCACATTCAGGTATGCCTATCAAACGTAGATTATGTCTTTTCACATAGTCCCACATTCTTGGAGACTTTGTTCATTCCTTTTTACCCTTTTTTCTCTATTCTTGCCTTCCTGTTTTATTTCATTGGGTTGATCTTCAACCTCTGATATCATTTTTTCTGCTTGGTCAATTTGGCTGTTGATACTTGTGCATACTTCGCAAAGTTCTCGTGTTGTGTTTTTCAGCTCCATCAATTCATTCATATTCCTTTCTATTTTGTCCATTCTCGTTAACATTTTGTCAAATCTTTTTTCAACGTTCTTGGTTTCTTTGCATTGGGTTAGAACATGTTCTTTTAGTTCACAGAAGTTTCTTACTATCCACCTTCCAAAGTCTGATTCTGTCATTTCATCACACTCGTTCTCCTTCCAACCTTGTTCCCTTGCTAGTGAGGAGTTGTGATCCCTTTTAGGAGAAGAGGTGTTCTGGTTTCGGGTGTTTTCATCCTTTTTGTGCTGGTTTCTTCCCATGTTTATGGATTTATCCACCTGTGTCTTTGTAGTTGTTGGCTTTCAAATTGGGTCTCTGAGTGGAAGTCCTGTTTGTTGATGATGAGGTTATTTCTGTTTCTTGGTTTTCCTTCTGACAGTCTGGCGCCTCTGCTGTAGGTCTGCTGAGGTCCACTCCAGGCCCTGCTTGCCTGGGGATCACCTGCAGCAGCTGCTGAACAGCAGGGTTGTTACCAGTTTTCTTCTTCTGCTATCTTTGTCCCAGAAGGATACCCGCCATGTGTCAATCTGATCTCTCCTTTATGAGGTGGCTCTTTGGATATACAGGGGTAAGGGAGCTGCTTGAGGAGATGGTTTCTTCTTTATAGGAGCTCAAATGCTGAGCTGTGAGCTCCGTTGTTCATTCAGAGCTGCTGGGCAGGTCCATTTATGTCTGCTGCAGCAGAACTCATAAACCACTTTTTGTTCCCAGGTGCTCTGTCCCAGGGATTTAGGGCTTTATGAGTTTCCGTTATGCTGCTGCTTTCTTTTTTTTTCCTTCAGGGCTGCCCTGCCAGCAAGGAGGCAGCCTAGTCACTGTCTGTCTGTAGAGGCTTTGCTGAGCTGCTGTGGGCTCCGCCCAGCTGCTGAGTGAACTTCCCTGTAGTCCTGTTTGTATGGGTGTGGTTAGAACTGCCTCTGCAATGGTGGCCCACCTCTGTTAAGGTGGAGCCTCTCTGCAGTGGTGGGTTGCCTTGACAATGGCAGGCTGCCTTAGCAATGGCAGGTTGCCTTGGCAATGGTGGGCTGCTTCAGCATTGGCTGACTACCTCCGTAGTGGCGGGCTGCCTCAGTAATGTTGGACGCTCCTCCCCCACAAAGCTGGATCATCCCGGGTTCAGCTGTGCTTGCTGTTAAACTCTGAATCCAGAGAGTTTCTGATTGCTGTTCTTTTGTGGGGGTGGGACCAGCTGAGCCTGATCGCCTGGCTCCCTGCCTCAGAGCCTTTTTTTTTAAGTTGGTGTTCCAGTCGCCTGTTGAAGAGGTGCTGGGGTCTGTGTTTTCTCCCATGTGGTGACTCACTGCACTGGCTTAAACAGCAGCACTGAGATTTGTGGCTCTTTTTTTTGCCTTGGAATCTACTCTCCTGGTTCCCTGCTCAGTTCCCTTTTTAAACAGATGAATGGGCGACTTCCCGTGGCTCTAATCACCAGCCAAAAGGGCACCCAGACCAGTGTATTTTGTATGGAAAACCGCTGCTCCGGGGCGCCAAAAAAGCAGCCGTGCGGGGCAAATCAGCGGCGCTGGCCAGCACAGCCGCGCTGGTCGAAACAGCTGGGCTGGCAACCCGTGGAGCTCCTCTGCCTGGGAATTGCCTTGTCTGTGGGCAATAAAAATGTGGTGTCCACTCACCCTCTGCGCTTTCACTGGGAGCTGCTATCCTGAGCTGTTCCTAAATGGCCATCTTGGATTGTATCTGGCTTTGTTCATTTCTTTTCTCTCTTCTTTTCTCTAAACTTGTCTTCTCATTTTATTTCATTGACTTGATCTTCAATTTCTGACATCCTTTTTTGCTTGATTGATTCACTTATTGAAACTTGTCTATGCCTCATGAAGCTCTCGTGCTGTGTTTTCCATCTCCCTCAGGTCATTTATGTTCTTCTGTAAGCTAATTATTCTAGTTAGCATTTTGTCTGACCTTCTTTCATGGTTTTTAGTTTCTTTGCATTGGGATAGAACATGTTCCTTTACCTCAAATAAGTTTGTGATTACCCGCCTTCTGAAGCCTGCTTCTATCAGTTCTTCAAACTCACTCTCCATTCTGTTTAGCTCCCTTGCTGGGGAGGAGTTATGGTCCCTTGCTGGAGAGGCATATTGATCTTGAATAATTTCATCCTTTTTCTGCTGGTTTCTTCCCATCTTCATGAATTTATCTACTTTCAATCTTTGAAGTTGGTAATTTCAGTTGGGATCTCTCAGTGGAATTCCTTTCTGTTGAAGTTGAAAGCATTTCTCCTGTATGAACCTTTTTTTTTTTTTTTTTGATTATGCAGTTGTCTAAAAGCTGCTTGATGTGGCAGTCTTCTGTGTTGTGGGTTGCAGAGGCCATGCGGGTAGTGCAAGAGGCCATTGAAAAAGCAGGTCTAACCTCACTTGTGTAAACAAAACCACAAACTGGTTTTGTTTACACAGGTGAGGATAGACCTGCCTTCCCAATGGCGAGTGTCCTTCCTCTGACTGAGCTTGATTGTCCTGGGTCAAGTTCAAACTGATGTGCTGGCTGCAAAACTCTATCAAGAAGCCTGTACTTTATGTGGGTGGGACATGCCAAGCCATATCACCTGTTTCCCTGCTTTCAACTCTCCCTCTTTCTGAAGGACTGGAAGTTCCATCCTGCAAGTGTTCTTGGCATTAGTCAAAACTTCCAGCCAGGTCTGTGCTGACAACTGGTGGCACCAGGTAGGCCAGAACTGTCCCTCAGATCTTTGTTGATAACCCATTCTTTTCAGTTTGGTGCCATTCTCCTGTGCTGTGGATTGCAGAGGCCATCAGGGAAGTACAAAATCTGGACCAGAGTGCCGAGGGAATAAGGTCTCCGGTACTCCAGACCAGTTGTACTTCCTGGGTGGTACAGTGCCCTGCCCTGCTTTGGTTAACCCTCTTTGCACTACTCTGGCCCTGCATCAGTCCACTCTTTTTGGGCTATTCCCACTGTCCAACCAGTCTCTTTGAAATGAACATGGTACCTTATTTGGGAATGTGGAGACCTCTCACCTTCTGAATCTCTCTTGCTGGAAACTGCTCTCTGGAGTTGTTCCTATTCAGTCATCTTGACAGAAGTCCCTCTTCTTTGGCTTTTATATCAAAAGGAAATGACTTACGTATCTAAGTACATTGTATAACCCCTCTTTCACATCCAACACTTCTACTTGGCAGCCATGAATAAAGACAGGGTTGTATTTGAATACTGAATCTCAGCAGTAATTATATTGATTTAATTAATTATACATCAGTTTTTTATTTATAAAATGGGAGTAATAAAACATATCATGAAGTATTCTTACAGATCTATGCTATAAATGAAAAAGACTAAGTATGCTGTGCAGCATATACTGCATTTCCAACAAGCAGTAGTTCTTAATTACGGTGCTTCTGACTTGACACTTGTGGCACTAACAATTTTTTTAGAACAGTAATATATAATTCTATAATGAGTTCAATCAAAAAAGAAATACACAGTAGAAGAATTAACAAAGTACACAAAATTAGAAAGTGATAACTATTTCGCCCCTTAAATGAATTAGTATATTGATACAAATGTCATATTTTATACTTAGGTGGGTGCAATTAATGTATGTGTATATTTTTAGTAAGTACTTCATCTCACTCTTACTTTCTTCTTTAGTTTTATCTTCATTTTACCCTAAAATCTTTTGTCTTCCAAATTAAATAGAAAAATAGAATCTATATACTTTTAAGATAATAATATATTGAGCAATATATGGACATAATATTTTTTCTGTACAGAGAGATTTAGGTTTTTCAAGATATAATGTATATAATATAGCACTATATTAAGATCCTCAGACTGTTTTGTTTGATCTTTTGCCAAAAAAAAGAAAAAGAAATCACAGGTTTAGCAATTTTTTTTTTATAATCATCAAGAACTAAAAATCATCATTCACCAACAGATAAAAGATGGAATTCTGCTTAGCAATAGAAAGCAATAAACTATTAATAAATGCAATAATGTGTCATATATCAATCTCAAAGGCATTATGCTAAGTGAAATAAGCCATGCTCAAAAAGCTACTGTATGATTTCATTCCTTTTGCAAAAGGCAAAACCATATTGGTGGAAAACAAATCAGTTAATGTTTGCCAGATGTTGAGCAGAGGAGGAGAGCAAATGTAAAGGAACATGATGACTGATGATACTATTGGGGGGACTGAAACTCTATGTCATGCTGTTGTTGTGGTTTTCAAGGCCCAGCACAAAAATGAAAACACAAAACTCCTTGTTCATACAACAGAGAAAAACATGATTAAAGTATTTGGTTGGTGCAAAAGTTATTGCAGTTTTTATCATTAGGCATAATGGCAAAAACCACAATAACTTTTGCACTAATTTGATACTAAACTATAAAGTTTTCTCTTGTTTTCTGCAAACTCTCTTTCAGTTTCTTGTTATACTTGCTAAACTTAATGAACTTTATATCTCAAAGGGAGGATTTTTACTGCATTAATATTTTAATTTACCTGAGCTTTAAGAAAATGGTTTTAAAGGAAATGCTATTGAGGATCGATCCAAGATGGCCGTTTAGGAACAGCTCAGGATTGCAGCTCCCAGTGAAAGCACAGAGGGTGAGTGGATGCCACATATTTTGCCCACATACTAGGAAATTCCCAGGCGGAGGAGCCTCAGGGGTTGCCAGTGTGGCTGTGTCAGCCGGCGTGGCTGCTTTGCCCCACACAGCTGCTTTGTCAGCACCCCGGCGCAGCGGTTCTCCATACAAAATACACTGGTCCAGGTGCCCTTTTGGCTGGCGATTGGAGCCAAAGGAAGTCACCCATTCATCTGTTTAAAAAGGGGACTGAACAGGGAACCAGGACAGTAGACTCCCAGGCAAAAAAAGCGCCACAAATCTCAGTGCCTCTGTTTAAGCCAGCACAGAGAGCCACCGCACAGGAAAACACACAGATCCTGGCACCTCTCCAACAGGAGACTGGAACACCACTTAAAAAAAAAAAAAACAAAAAAAGGCTCTGAGGCAGGGAGCCAGGCTATCAGGCTCGGCTGGTCCCACCCCCACAAAAGAACAGTAATCAGAAACTCTCTGGGTTGAGAGTTTCACAGCAAGCACTGCTGAACCAGGAACAGTCCAGTTCTGTGGGGAGGGGCGTCCGCCATTACCTAGGCACTCCTACACTACAGAGGTAGTTAACCAATGCTGAGGCAGTTCGCCATTGCCAAAGCAACCCGCCATTGCTGAGGCAGCACACCATTGCCAAGGCAACCCGCCATTACAGAGAGAGTCCGCAAATCCAGAGGTGGCCCACCATTGCTGAGGCAGTTATAACTACACCCATATACAGGACTGCAGGGAAGTTCATTCCACAGCTAGGCGGAGCCCAGCACAGCTCCACAAAGCCTCTAAAGGCAGACAGTGACAAGGCTGCCTCCTTGTTGGGCAGGGCAGCCCTGAAGGAAAAAAAAAGAAGGCAGCAGCAAAACAGGAACTCATGAATAAAGCCCCAAATCCCACGGACAGAGCACCTGGGAACAAAAAGTGGTTTATGAGTTCCTCTGCAGCAGACATAAATGTACCTGCCCAGCAGTTCTGAATGAACAATGGAGCTCACAGCTCAGCATTTGAGCTCCTATAAAGAACAGACTGTCTCCTCAAGCAGCCCCCTGACCCTTGTATATCTAAAGAGCCACCTCATAAAGGACAGATCAGACAGACACTTGGTGGGTATTCTTCTGGGACAAAGATAGCAGCAGCAGAAAACTGGTAGCAACCCTTACTGTTCTTCAGCTTCTGCAGGTGATCCCCAGGAAAGCAGGGTGTGGAGTGGACCTCAGCAGACCTACAGCAGAGGGTCCAGACTCATAGAAGGAAAACTAAGAAACAGAAATAACCTCATCATCAACAAACAGAACGTCCACTCAGAGAGCCATCTGAAAGCCAGCAAATACAAAAACGACAGGCGGATAAATCGATAAAGATGGGAAGAAACCAGCACAATAAGGATGAAAACACCCGAAACCAGAACATCTCCCCTCCTACAAGGGATCACAACTCCTCAACAGCAAGGGAACAAGGTTGGATGGAGAATGAGTGTGATGAAATGACAGACTCAGGCTTCAGAAGGTGGGTAGTAAGAAACTCCTGTGAACTAAGAGAACACATTCTAACCCAATGCAAAGAAACTAAGAACCTTGAGAAAAGATTTGATGAAATACTAATGAGAAAGGACAAAATAAGAATATAAGTGAATTGATGGAGCTGAAAAACACAATACAAGAACTTCGTGAAGCATGCACAATTTTCAACAGCCGAATTGACCAAGCAGAAGAAAGGATATGAAAGGTCGAAGATCAACTCAATGAAATGAAACTGGAAGGCAAGAATAGAGTAAAAAGGGTAAAAAGGAATGAACAAAGTCTCCAAGAAATGTGGGACTATGTGAAAAGACCTAATCTACGTTTGATAGGTGTACCTGAATGCAACTAAGAGAAAGAATCCAAGCTGGAAAATACTCTTCAGGATATTGTATAGGAAAACTTCCCCAACCTAGCAAGTCAGGCAAATATTCAAGTCCAGGAAATACAGAGAACACCACAAAGATATTCGTCAAGAAGAGCAAACCCAACGTACATAATCGTCAGATTCACCAGGGTTGAAATGAAGGAGAAAATACTAAGGGCAGCCAGAGAGAAAGGTCGGGTTACCCACAAAGGGAACCCCATCAGACTCACAGCAGATCTCTCAGCAGAAACCGTACAAGCTAGAAGAGAGTGGGGGCCAGCATTCAACATCCTTAAAGAAAAGAACTTTCAACCCAGAATCTCCTATCCAGCCAAACTAAGCTGCATAAGTGAAGGAAAAATAAAATCCTTTGTGAACATGCAAGTACTCGGAGATTTCGTAACCACCAGGCTTGCTTTACAAGAGTTCCTGAAAGAGGCTCTACACATAGAAAGGAAAAACAAATAGCAGGCACTCCAAAAACATTCCAAATGGTAAAGAGAATCAACACAATCAAGAATCTGCATCAACTAACTAACCAAACAGCCAGCTAGCATCAAAATGGCAGTATCAAATTCACACATAACAATATTAACCCTAAATGTAAATGGACTAAATGCCCCAGTCAAAAGACACAGACTGGCAAATTGGATAAAAAGCCAAAACCTATCAGTGTGCTGTATCCAGGAAATCCATCTCACATGCAAGGATACACAAAGGCTCAAAATAAAGGGATGGAGGAAGATTTACCAAGGAAATGGAGAGCAAAAAGAAGCACGAGTTGCAATTCTCATCTCTGATAAATTAGACTTTAAATCAACAAAGATCAAAAGAGACAAAGAAGGACATTACATAATGGTAAAAGGATCAATGCAACAAGAAGAGCTAACGATCCGAAATATATACGCACCCAATACAGAAGCACCCAGATATATAAGGCAAGTTCTTAATGACTTACAAAGAGACTTAGACTCCCACACAATTATAGTGGGAGACTTTAACACCCCATTGTCAATACTAGACAGATCAACCAGACAGAAAATTAATAAGGATATCCAAGACTTGAACTCAGACTTGGACCAAGTAAAACTAATAGACATTTACAGAACTCTCCAGCCCAAATCCACAGAATATACATTCTTCTCAGCACCACATCACACCTACTCTGAAATTGACCACATAATTGGGAGTAAATCACTCCTCAGCAATTGCAAAAGAACCGAAATCATAACAAACACTCTCTCAGACCTCAGTGCAATCATGTTAAAACTCAGAATTCAAAAACTAACCCAGAATTGCACAACTTCATGGAAACTGAACAACTTACTCTTGAATGTTGACTGGATAAACAATGAAATGAACGCAGAAATAAAGATGTTCTTCGAAACCAACGAGAATGAAGACACAACTCACCAGAATCTTTGGGACACGTTTAAAGCAGACTCTAGAGGAAAATATACAGCAATAAGCGCCCACATGAGAAGCAAGGAGATATCAAAAATTGACACCCTATCGTCAAAATTGAAAAAGCTGGAGGACCAAGATCAAAAAAGCTCAAAGTCTAGCAGAAAACAAGAAATAGCTAAGATCAGAGCAGAAGTTAAATAGACAGAGACACAAAATACCCTTCAAATAAACAATAATTGGTTTTTTGGAAAGATCAACAAAATAGACAAACCACTAGCCAGATTAATAAAAAAGAAAAGAGAGAATAACCAAATTGATGAAATAAAAAACGATAAAGGGGATATCACCACAGATTCCACAGAAATTCAAACCATCATCAGAGATTATTACAAACAACTCTATGCACATAAACTAGTAAACCTGGAAGAAATGGATACATTCCTGGACACTTGCCTTCCCCCAATCCTAAACCAGGATGAAGCCAAAACCCTGAACAGACACATAACAACATCTGAAGTTGAGGCAGCAATTAAGAGCTTACCACCGAAAAAAAGCCCAAGTCCTGACGTGTGCACAGCCGAATTCTACCAGACATACAAAGGGGAGCTGGTACCATTCCTTCTGAAACTATTGCAAATAATCCAAAAAGAGGGAATCCTTCCCAAATCATTTTATGAGGCCAACATCATCCAGATATCAAAACCCGGCAGAGATTCAACAAGAAAAGAAAACTTCAGGTCAATATCCATGATGAACATACATGCACAAATCTTCAATAAAATACTGGCAAACCAATTGCAACAGCACATCAAAAAGCTTCTCCACCATGATCAAGTAGGCTTCATCCCGGGGTGCAGGTCTGGTTTCGCCAGTTAGAATGGCAATCATTAAAAAATCTAGAGACAACAGATGCTGGAGAGGATGTGGAGAAATAGGAACAATTTTGCACTGTTGGTGGGAGTGTAAATTAGTTCAACCATTGTGGAAGACAGTGTGGCGATTCCTCAAGGACCTAGAAATAGAAATTCCTTTTGACTCAGCAATCCTATTACTGGGTATATATCCAAAGGATTATAAATCGTTCTAGTATAAGGACACATGCACATGAATGTTCATTGCAGCACTGTTTACAATAGCAAAGACCTGGAACCAGCCCAAATGCTCATCGATGATAGACTGGACAGGGAAAATGTGGCACATATACACCATGGAATATTATGCAGCCATCAAAAACGATGAGTTCGTGTCCTTTGCAGGGGCATGGATGAACCTGGAAACCATCATTCTCAGCAAACTGAGACAAGAGGAGAAAATCAAACACTGCATGTTCTCACTCATAGGCGAGTGTTGAACAATGAGAACACATGGACCCAGGGTGGGTAGCACTACAAACTGGGGTCTGTTGGGGGGAAATAGGGGAGGGACAGTGGGGGAGGGGAGTTGGGGAGTGATAGCATGGGGAGAAGTGTTAGATGTGGGTGATGGTGTAGAAGGTAGCAGATCACACTGCCACGTGTGTGCCTATGCAACAATCTTACATTTTCTTCACATGTACCCCAAAACCTAAAACGCAATAAAATGAATTTTTAAAAAAGTCAATGGCCATTTGCATTTTAAATGAATAACTTCTCAATCCAAAATAAATGTGCTAATAATGGAATTTCATCAAGTGATTTAGGGGCAAATGAGAAATGGAAAATGCTACCAGAATTATTAAAATCATGCTATGGATTTGATCTACTACGTGAACTATGTGAAAAAGGAGATGTGCTCAGGCCCAGTGGTTCACATCTGTAATCCCAGCATTTTCAGAGGCTGACACAGGCGGATCACTTCAGCCCAGGAGCTCAAAACTGGCGTGGGCAACAAAGTGAGGCCCTGTCTCTACAAAAATAATTTCAAAATTTAAAAACTTTAAAAAATTAACCAGGCATGCTGGTGCAGGTCTGTGGTTCCACCTGCTCCGGGTACTGAGGTGGGAGGATCAATTAAGCCCAGGAGGTCAAAGCTGCAGTGAGCTGTGATAGCACCACTGCACTCCAGCCTAGGCAACAGAGTAAGACCCTGTCTCAAAATATAATAAGAAGGAATACATAAAATACTTAGAATAAGAGAAGTGTTCCTAGAATTTGGTTGCAATACAATCAGAAAAGAATATAGACGCTATTAGTTCTATCTTATTCTTTTACAGATAAAATTACTGAGAGTAAAAGAGTGATGTTCTATGCATAAGACAGTTTTATGATAATTATCACCCTTTCAGATATCTATAACAGAGCCAGAGCAAAAATTCAAATATCCAGATTCCTAATTAAATCCTGGTTTCTTCTACCACAGCCTATGATCTCCCTGTCAAAGCAAACCTATCTCAGTAGACTGTTTCATTTCAACTACGACAGATAGACTGGGGAAAAAAAATCCAAGGAGAAGGAAAGCTCACTCTCCTAATGTAGTCTGGGGGTGTGCAGCAGCAGGTAGGGAAGATAAATTGTCCTGTGCTGTTGTGTAGAATAAAACAAACTTTGAATGAGTCAGGATATATCAAGTCTATCATAAATTTTACACTCTTAAAAACAGCAAATCTAGCAACTCAAACGAAGGGAAAAGCCTATAAAAGGAAGAAAATCTACCTTCTTTATCAAAACTACAAACTTAGCTATATGATTCATTCAAGTTAGCATTCTCAAAAATTCACAAAATTCTGCACTGTTACAAGCATTAGGAGTAGGTTTAAGAAAGTAATAATTGAAAAGTTTATAGCTTTTGTAGAAGGAGCAAAATTATCTACATTTCCACTAAAACTTAGTTTTTATAAAGATCTTTTATTTAACATGAATGCTAGCAACTTATTTCTCTCATTTTGAAAATATTTCTATACTTTTGTTTACACTCTGTGCTTTCTTTCCCACCTGGGATGTGATTGTCAAATACACAGATGCTCCTCAACTTGCAGTGGGGTTATGTCCAGACAAACCCATCATAAACTGAAAATATTATAGCTGAAAATGCACTTAATATACTTAACCTGCTAACATCATAACTTAGCCCAGCCTGCCTTAAATATTCTCAGAACACTTACAAAAGCCTACAGCTGGACAAAATCATTAGCAAAAAGCCTATTTTACAATAAAGTCTTGAATATTTTATGCAACTTACTGAATACTGTATTGACAGCAAAAACCAGAATGGTTGCATGAGTACTTGGGGTAGGTTTCTACTAAATACATATGACTTTCATACCATTGTAAAGTTGAAAAATTGTAACTCAAATCTTTGTGAGTTGGGGACCATCTGTATGAATAAACACAGTTAACATTTGGTCTTCATGGGCCCTGCATCAGCAGATTCAACCAAACTTGCATCACAAATATTTGGGAATATCAGGGTATGCTTAAGTTAAAACAATACCAAAACAAATTTGGATAAAT